TTTTCTGCTGTACTTCTAAAAATCAGGAATGTTTCCAAGGCTGCAGTCTTAGGACAATGGCTATTCCCTGTTGTAGAAACATTCTTCTATATATTTATATAGCCAATTTCCTTAACTTCTTTGCCTTTGATCAAAATGCAGCCTTCTCAATGGGGCCTACCATGATGACTATTCAATTTGTTCTCCTTCATATACATCCCTCTTATTTTCCTCTACTTCTTTTCTATAGCAATTATCACATTCTGATATCTGACTTAATTTACTTATGAACTGACTTATACTATGTTTGTCTTTCTCCTTGCCTCCAACCACATACTTAGAATACAAACTTCTCAAATGCTAGCATATTTTTACATCTTGATTACTATACACCAGGTACTTAATAGAGAGGCATCCATTAAATATCTTGGATAGACAACATATCATTCCTAACTATTAGGTCTATCAGGTCTTGATGTATTTTAATAAAGTTTTATAATTTTTCTCAGAAAGGTTATATCCCTATTACTCTTGGGTATCTTAGCTCTTTTTTGTTCTCATAACACATGGAATTTTTATTGTATTTTCTAACTTATTATTGCTGATAAATATGAAAATTTTAAATTATACATTGTATTACTCTGATCAAAATTAATTCTGTAATAAAATACCACAGACATGGAAGCTTATAAACAACAGAAATCCATTTCTTATAGTCCTGTAGGATATGGAGTCCAAAATCAAGGAACCAGCAGATTCCACATCTGGTTTCCACATCTATTTCCTAGTTCATAGATGGCATCTCTGTACTGTGTCCTACTATAATGAAACAGGAAAAGCAGATATCTTGGATCTCTTTTTTATAAAGTAACTCAATCAATAAATGGAATCTTTTTAAAAAGCATTCCAATCCTTTAGGAGGGCTCCATCCTCATGACCTAATCCCTTGCCAAAGGCCCAATCCCCTAATGCCATGACTTTGGAGTTAAGATTAAAAAAAATGAATTCTGGGGAGATTCAATCTGAGATATAAGATACATATTGATATTGTATCTTGGAACATTGATCAGTTCTGTATTCTAATATTTTGTCTAGGTTCTTTCAGATTTTATTTTAGCCAATCATGTAACTGCAAGTAATTATAATTATGCATCTTTCTTTCTAATCATCATACCACTTGTCTAATTACCATGTCATATTGCATTAGAGACTTCACTTCAAATCTGAAAAGTATGTCATGAGTTCATCCTTTTCTTTTTCCTAATTTTAAAGTGAATGATTTTAAAGTTTCATCATTATGTATAATATTTGCTCAATCTCTTGGAAGAGATTCCTCATTGGATTAAGAAGCTTCTTTCTCACCTTAGTTTTCTATGGGTTTTAGTTTGAATGGGAAGTAAATTTTAGCTATTAATTTTTTATACAGCTATTGGGATGATGTTTGAAAGGGGGAAGAGAGCAAAAGATTAAGAGAGAAATATTTGGAACAACAAAATATAAATAAAAAATAAGTAAACATAAGAGTAAATATGTTTAAATTAAATTTGAATTTAAAATTGTAGTACTGGAAAGCTATTACTGTTTTCTATTCTATTTTACTCCTTATTCTCTTCCTTTTCAAGGAAGGTTTACAGTAATTTCTTCTAAGTACTAGGATTACAGTTTTGAGGGTATTATTTTTTCCTTTTTTCCAATATTTATCTATGTATTTCAAATTTCCTACAGTGACAATTTCTACAATGACTACCTAGGTACAAGTCCTGTGACCTTGAGTAAGTTATGCTATTTGTCCTTTCTGTTTTCAGTTTCTTTGTTATGTAAAAGGGGTGGGTGGTAAAATAGTATTTACTCAAAAAAATGGTTTTAAGGATTGAATTAATTAATTAAAATAAATTATGAGAAAAGTACCTATAATATGAAAGTATTCAGTAAATGTTAGCTATTACTACAACTTGAATGACAGAAAAAATTATAAGCAGTTTTCTGTTTTGTAGAAGTATCATTACAAATACATTACTAATAAGTGCTAACATTTATTGAGCACTACTTATGTATTACTACATGCATTAAGCACTAAATTAGGTGTTTCATATGCATTGTTACTTATAATTCTTATGTCAATCCTATTAATTACTACTGTTAACATCATTCAGTAATGTAGAAATTGATAATATTGCTAGATAAATTGATTGAAGATTTTCCCAATGTCACAAAGATTGTAAGTTGCAGAGTTGCTTACAACACACCTTGGTCTAATAGAGTTCATTACATTTTGCCTGATAATGATTAGGATAATTAGTAATAGACTTTGAATGAAAGAGGAAAAAAAGTTTAAGTAAGAGGAAAAGGAAAAAATTTAAACACAAGTACATAAAATGTGTGAGTGTGTGTGTGTGTGTGTGTGTGTGTGTGTGTGTGTGTGTGTTTAAACTGTATTATAGCTAATAGAAATCCAGGAAATGCCTTTTTAAAGAAACAGTCTCACTAAATTTCCCAGGAAACACTGAACTGCTAGGATGAAGCAATTCTCCACCCTCAGCCTCTCTCTCAGGTAGCTGTAACTTCAGGTGCATGCCACCACACCTGGAACAGGATATGTATGCTTCATTATTCTGTTTTTCATACCTCATAGGATATTCTCTTGACATACTCAGATAAAACATGATCGATGAGTTGAGAAAAAAGTGAAAATAAAGTGGATCTGTTTTGCTATCTCATGTTATTTCTAGAATGCAATTAATTTTTTTTTTAGTAGAGGTCTGAGACACGGCATCATAACCCATTGATCTGTGAGGTTTCAAAGTGAGAAAAAAGAAATGATTTTCTCTGGATGTGTGAACATCTAAGTTCTTAAACAATTCACAGCAAAATATTCAGGAAAAGTCATCTCATTCACTGCTATATCCAGGAGAAAAAAAGGTGGTATTAACTTCTGGGCAGCAATTTAGAAATATGCATAAAGGTCTTCAAAATATACATGTCCTTGACCATCAGTTCCCCTGTTAGGAATTTCTCCTAAAGGAGGAAAACAAATTTTGGTAATATCACCTGAATAAAGATGGTCACTACTATACTATTCATAACATCATTTAATAGAAAATAATCTTTACACCCAAGAGTATGAAAGTAGACCAATAATAAATAGCTATTGAAGAGCCAAGTTTATCATGTTTTTTAGAAGTTTTTATTTGTTCTATTGAGTTAT